TTCCGCCTAAGAATAATGGAGGTTTGGGTCTCAAGACCTTTCATCAATTCTCCTCTACGACAACTCTCAGACAGGTAGAAATCCATCCCCGGAAGTCTTGTCTTCCTTTCTGTTTGCGTAGCCGATTGCGGATGAGTATTCACTTGTTGAAAGTCCAAGATCCCTCTTCCAGGTGGAAAAAAACCCTTTTCCCGATTGATTAGCTGAGAAGGAGAGGCTTACCTTCCTTTTCCAGACTTCTTACAGTCAATAATGGATGCATCCGTAACAGTCACTTTTCTGTGCAATTTTTTTCGCGTTACAGTTCTATCTCTTCCTTCCCTACGTTCCGCTCCATGTCGTGGATATGCTACTGGAGCATCGGCACCAGCCAGAAGGCGATGTTTCCACAAGTCCATTGGAAATGGGCGGGAGACGGGTTCGTGGCTTTCTGTGTGGCACCACAAATCCCCTTCTGAGTCAGAATACACGTCTTGCAGAGGTTATTGTGAACACTCTCCCCTTTCCTTCTGAAAATGTTGGCACACCTACGTCGGAGCCTCCAGCTGAGGGACACCTCGAAGCCGTCAGGGACACTGAACTCGAAGGTGGTGAAGCGACCTCTCGACCCGCTTTACCTGACGTCCATTCCAACGTTCGGACGGGTGGAGTATTTTCTCGACTCCTGGTAAGTCGTTCTCTGAATGCATAGACATATTCATCTCTTCTCCCTTCTTGATTGCAGAATCGGCAAGCGGCGACAATTCGGTTGTGTCCACCGTCCACGGAACCTGGTGGTAGATTGCGAGACCTCCCCATGCCCCTGGGACGGGCTATTCAACTCAGTAGACTGGATCGGATCTTTATTGATCATCTGGTGAACACAGCAGAACTGTGGTATGCCGCAAAAGCTGCCAGAGGCTCGGATTCCACCCCTGCGGAGGTGATGGCTCCACGGGAGATGGCTGAAGCTGAAGTTAGAATGAGGTTTCCAGGTTCGTGACAGTTCTTGCCTTGCTCTCTTCGTTTGAAAGGTGAAAAATCCTCGAAGTCGATTTTTTTCCTCCTACTGGTGCAGAATTGGCCGATTTGGAAAAGTGGATTCGAACTCAGTTTGGTGTCTACGTCAAGTCGTTGCTACTCACTGCCGAGGGTAGAGGTGAGTTAAAACTTGATGGGGGAGGAGAGGGATTATTTGTACCCAGCCTTCAACGTAAGCGTTATCCACCTGTAAGTAACTCCTAAAACATTTGAGTAGGCTCCTTTGTCGATGGTGTGGGGCTCTGTCAAAAGTTTTCTAGGCCTTCTTGGTGGCTGTATTAAGTTCACTTCCAGAATAATGAACCTGGCAATGTCTTCAGAAACAATCTAATGCTGCATTGGTGGCAGCAGTATGGAATATGTCTCATGGGTCCCTTTTAAATGACCTTCATTGTGGGGAGCTGAATTCGTCACTTCTTGGCGACCGCACGAAAGTCAGTGGACAGTGAGTCAAATCTGCAGCTCTTCTTGTATTACCGAGGTACGGGAACGATCTAGGTATAGAGGAAGCAGGCATAATCCAAAACCTTCCAAATGGAGGCACACTTTGATATACGAGACGCCTTCACTGCAGAACAGCGCCTAGCCCCGATTACTGCCGAATGGAGTGACAGGTGGACCCACTGAAATTTGTGGAATGCCTCAATAAAACGAGACGGGAACTGCGTAGTAGAATGCAGCTCGTGTTTGGTTCTCTTGATTCCACTCTCCACGACGGTGATGTGGGCTCTGCTGCTAATGTTCCAGACCTTTCAGACTCCTACCCTCGCTAACGTCTCTTTTCCTCACTTTGAAGGCAGTCAACTGGGAGACTTCAATCTCAACTACATCGCGTGTTTTCGCACCACCCACACCTTTCTGGCCTGGCGCAGTCAGTTGGTCGTGCCCTCGGTGATGAACCAGATACTGAATCAACAAAAGGAGGAAGAGGAGGTGGCGAAAGCGGTTTCACTCGAGTCCGTTGCAGAGTCTGTGGAATGTCGGACAGATGAAGCCGAGGATGTTCGGGAAGTGCCGGTAAAGTATCCCCTCACTGTCCATGTGGATTGATGACACCTGATTCCGAGAGTGCTCTCTTCTGAAGTTTCAACTCAACTGGTCTTTAAGTTGAGTGTTTCGGTTTCCCCACTTTCTCCGGTAGGAGTGACGGTACTTGTTGTCTAGTGTTTGCCTCATATTTCCTTTCATCTATTTAAAGCTGTAGTGAGCTTTGATTTCAGTGACGAAACAGACTTCAAACTGACAGGTTTTGGCCTTGACATCACTTTGACAACTACTTGGAAGGAAATGAACTCAGTGATTGGGATGCTCGTTTGTTTTGTAATGAGCTACGCAGTACTTTATGAGACCGCTGAGTTTGCAAAGGAAAAATGCTCTTTCAGTTTATGAAAGTGCAGTGGAGACGGTCGAGGAATTAGTAATTGGGCCGTGTTTGAAAATGCTGTCGGATCAATTTTCTCTGACATGTCGAATGTCCCTTGAGGACTTACTATGGATGGTATCACAAGGAGATAAGGGTGGCGGAAAAATTGACACCTAACTCACACCCTGGAAGAAGATGGAGCGTGATTGTGCTGAAGGTGTTGAAAATGTCTGGTCCTGGTAAGTCAGGTACAGAGGCCCTTGAAAATTCAATCAATTACTTCCACGACTATGAAAAAAGAAGGATTAGCATTGTTGTCAATGAGGCTTGACATTTGCGTTCGAAAATTCTTGAGATCATCCTCTTACACCCCTTCCTGATTGGCTGGCATCGCGTTGGCTGCACTTCAAGGAGCCAAGGTCAATCAGTCATTAGAAGTACACGTGGCTAAGCCGACTGAGTCACCGCGTCATTGCCTCTGTGTTTGCATCCACTCTGAAGTCGATAGAACCAAGTCCACTCGTGCACGGACCGACTTCTCGTCTGAGTTGTTGTGCAGCCTCTGGAGAAGGCGTGTTAGTGAAGTTTACCACACCCTCGTCATAGAAGGTGGTGGGTCATGCCAAAGTTAGGCTTATCGGGAGTTCTACAAGACTACTCTACGATTCCTCAGAACTGACAAATTACGTGCTCTACCTCATCCTCGCCGCTTTCGCAGTCCCTTGATGGCACGCCTCCAAGTGGTGGTGGCCACCATTTCCTGATGTAAGAACAACGGAAGTGCGGATGGCTGTAGTGGCTTGGATGGTCAAACAGCCAGCCAAGCGGATTCATTTCTTTTGTCTGGCTATTGGTTAACGGATTCAACTTTGACCTGACCGTGTTCTCTTTTCCGGTGACCTTTTTTCAGCAACTACCTCCGTTTATGGGGGCAGTGCCATGACTTGGATGCCTCATACCTTTGTGATGACTTGAGTCCTGGAGAGACTAGACAAGGACTTCAATCAGCGTTGATAGGACGCTAAAAGTCAAATCACCTAGGCAGTAGACTCAACGATTTCCATTTTTAAAACTGAAGTTGGATGAAGTGTCGCCCAAGGTTTGATTCTTCTGTCTTCATCCGAATTCGTTGGACACTTTTGCATGAGAGGAGATTCAGCTACGCCTGCTAGATTTGGACCCTCCCTGAAAAAGGAGGGATTCTACCTTGAATGGACGATAGATTTGTGCTGATATGATCACCAGGATTGAGTACTTTCCGTCTGCTTTCTATTTCGACGATAGCTTGTTTGCATCTTCTATTATGTGGCTACTGGAGACGGAGGTCTTCTGAACTCCTCTATGATGCTTGACCCAAGTCACGGACACTTGAAGAACTTTGTCATCATCTCCTTCTCCACCAGCACTATCCTCACTTACGTACTTGCTTTCACAGACCGCCAGCGCCAACACTGTGTCCCCCTCAAAGACGGCCTACGCCATCGCCTGTCCACTCATTCATCCGGGCAAAAAGTTTCCATCCTCCGAACCCGCGGATCAAATCGTCAATAACCTTAAGCAGTAGGTCTTGAGTCTTTGAAGAATAAGTTAATTTCAGCGTGTGGAGATGGAATAGACATGAAGTCGTATGTTGTGGATGGTGCACCTTGCCACCACATTCCACACCTCTTCCAACAGGTGTTGAGAGGATCTTCTGCAGTTTTGGAACTGCGTAATTCACAGTTCATGAAGTTGGCAAGCCCCAAGTATATTGATGGTTTAAAGCACCAAGAAAGTAGTAGAGTGCTGTCACGCTTGCCGTACCGGTTGACTGACATGTGTCGACGCTTCACATGTCCGCACGAACGTGTCTTGCTCTCTTGTGGCACCAAATTGTCGAGGTCATTTGGTGCCTGTTGGCTGTGAGCTCTGTTCAACGACTGCCAAACATGACAGTTTAAGGAGCCTAAACTCAGCATCACTGAGCTTAGAGGAATTAAGTAGTTGCTCCACCATCTGTCCCCTCTCATGAAATGGAATGTTATGCGGGAGAAGGGAGAAGAATTTCACCTCCAACACGTTACCAATTCTCTTCGATCTGGGGCTTGACAAAACCCCTACTCTTAACCTACTAGGTGATCACACTTGAGTCTTAGATTTTATTAATTTCTTCTCTCGAACATCTCAGGAAATATGTTCCAGCTAGACTTATTAGGTGAGTGATAGGCGCTAGTTCGGTTGAATTAGGCTGAAACCTCTGCGGCATGTTTTGTCACCTTTGCTAGCGGCTTCACAATTCCAGCGTTTTCATCAATTCGCTTCATGTGATTTGGTTTTTAAATTTTAATAGTCTTTCAGCTCTTCTAAAAGTGATTTATAGAGGAAAAAATGGCAAAAATGTTTTGATTTTACTTTTGTACGCGTAGACATGGGGCTATCCGTAGGGCCTTACCTGCTGGTGTGTTATATGCTACTGATAAGCTAATTCAGTAGGAATAATTTTCTCCACATTTGAACTGTAGGCTTGGCAATTTTGCCGCGGACCACGGCCGCAGAATGATGAGTCAGTGGGTTAGCGGATTGATGAAATTAGGGAGTAAGTTAATTTTATCAAATGAAATAACTTCTGTTTTTCGTTTTGCATTTGCACCTAATCCACTTCTTCCCATCCCTCCGTTTGTTGCAGACTTTCCTTCCTCAAACCGGCTTACCAAGTAATTTTGCTTGCTGCTGCCTTGTGGCTTTTGTGTGTGCGTACTCCTTAGTTGTGTTTGTTATCTTCTTTGCTTTTAAATCATTGTGAATTACTTTTTGTTGTGAATTTGGCGTGAGCTTCCTCAATGTTCCCACTTTGGAGGAGAAGGTGCTTCTGTCTTATGCCGACAGTCTTTTGCATGCAGAGCTCTTTAGTAAATCCTCCACCTTAAGAATTTGTTTCATACTTCTTAATAAACAGACTAATTGACTTTTGCAGGATGGGGCTTGCTGCCATCAGCTACCATTGGTGAATTTGGAAGTTCTACAAATTCCACTACTTTTTGTTGTCGAGTAAAGATCCAAAAGACACTCAAGTTTAAAGCACATTGATATCTGCCCATCAAAAGTGTTAATTCAGTACCGTTAGTAGTTTTCTTTTAAAAGTGGGAGTTACATAACCGTAGACGTGCCCTTTTGACAAGGCGGTGACTTTCTTTGATCTCTACTTTGGTCTCTGGAAGCCATAGGAGCCACCTTTCTTCCTGCCTCACATTTATCTCCCAACTGCCTACTTTGTGTGTGACAAATCATAAACAGGAATCTAGTGGGGATGAGGATGAGGTGAGGGCAAAGTATCTTCGTTCCATTTTCGAGTACACCGTGAGGTCTGTTGGAGTCACGTCATGCTCTGCCCACAGTTGATAAGACAGATCTGCGTTTCTCGTGTCACATGCAAGCCAAAGATACTACACATGTACTTTTTCGTGCTCCCCTCATGTGGATTTTGTTTTGTCTAGGTCCTAGTTAAGTCAAAGGCACTGTTTCATTCCTAGAAAGGAATTATTAAATCTCTTTTAACAAAATTTCATCGGGGAGCTAGGCGTTCCAATTTGCTTTTCCCTCAGGCGTCTAGGTTTCACTGAATGTCCTTTTTCTCCCTTAAATAATTCAGCCGCATTGTACTTTTCTTTTAGAACCTAGGCGAAAAAATAGCACAATTTTCAACAAAGGTAATCTTTTTTAATCTCTAAATTTGGTTCCATGTCACCACTCGTCTCACTTGTCATTCATGACTAACGCTCTTTGCCTCATGGGTGTGCATGTTTAATTGTGGGGTTTCGCAGTGTCAGATTGGGGTTTGACTAAGGGAAAGGGGCGACTGAAAGGCCGCTTTCTCCGGTGCAGGTATAACCCCCAAAGGTGGAGGGTTCCGCATGGTGATATGGGCATTGCTGTGCTTCTCCCAGCTATGATTGGTCGTAAAACTTAGGGAGGTGCGGCCACACAAGTTTGGTGTCATTGAGGCCTCATTTGACTGGAAAAGTACTGTAAAGGCAATTTTTCTCAACTCCTTTGGAGAGGGAAAAAACTCTAATCCCCAAAGCCTTTGTACACCTTCATCTATCCTGTGGAGGGTTTCATCGTTATTTTCCACTCAAATCCATTTGATTGTAGGTGAGAAGAGCACCCCGGCAACCTCGACATTTGTCACTTCAATGCGTCGTCTCGCTGGCAGTGTGCGTTCAGCTCTGGACACGGGTCAGCCACCCCTCCAACAACCGCCAACATGAAAGGCAGGACCGGAACCAGCATTAACATCATCACCTCCGTGGTTATTATTATTTCTTGATCCCTTTGCTGTCGTGATGCCTTTGTTGTCTTTCGCCTCTTTTTTCCTCTCCTCCCTTTCCCTTTTTGTTGCCAAAGGATTGAACATGTGAAAGAGAGGAACTTAGAGTTATCAATCCCAGTGTGCTCCCATTTTACCCACGTCGTTGTTGATGCTGCTGATCTCATTTGTGCATCTTTGCCTTTTTGTAATTACTTTGTCCACGCTTTAGCGCCTTTTCGACCGAGTTACGGAGTGTGTTTAGGTCAAACTGGGAAATCGTGTCGACCTCTTGCCATTCAGCAGTCGTTACACAGGGATTGAGTAGGTCTACCTGAAACCCTGTGTGTCAGGTAAAACGTTTGTGTCACTCAACAGTAACATCTGTGAAATTTGTACACTAGGTGAATATTTCTATGGGAGGGTTCAACACAACACCATGATGTACGAACGTTGGCAATCTCGCGAAGTTGGCACACACTGGGTACGGAAACAGCTTTCTGCTCTCAATCGCTGTAGGGAAGGTGGAAGGGTGCAATGGATTGTCACGATTCCTCGAGATCGTGTAGGAGGTTGAGGGCTAGCGTTTTGAAGTCTATCCTCCTGTAATTCGAGTGATTGAAACAGCGGACTTTAAAGAGGGTTCGCTTCAAAATGGACGGGTATGTGCTGTGGATAGATGAGGTTGCCTTAAAGCCTTTATTAAAGGCAGAAACGTGGAAGCTATACGATTGCCTCGATGTCTCGGTGTCCAGTTGAAATCGGTAGCTAGTAAGTTCTGACGGGTGCGAGGAGGGTGATGTCGGTTCCATTGTGACCAGAGCGCCTTAAATTTGAGAACAGGGAGGTCAGTGCCTGGGCGCTGCTCGAAACTCCCACAAAGTTTGCGCCTCCTATTCCAATCTCTGCTCTCTGTAATCTTGACTCCAGCCATACACAATGGTTCCTCTCAAACACTGGAGACGTTCTTTAAAGTATTCAGGTCGCCCTTGAATCTAAAATGTACTTAGCTTTAACGGCTTTTCTACCTCTTTTGTCATCTGCGACCTCTGAATTCAGAAATCGAGGGGGAGAGGGTTCACCTGCGTGGAGTTCACTCGCCCCTGTCAAGGGGAAGAGTCGCCACATTAGGTAATGTTTGGTAACTGAGCAATCGTCTACACTGCCACCTTACGATCCCTTTACCCAATTTTTGGTTTGAGAAAAAATACAAAAAGGCAATACGTATCACCAAAATTTGTTATTTATGTAAAAGAAGAGAGGAACGAATTAAAAAAATGTGGTGTTGATTTAATATCACTTGTCGGATATCATGAAGCTGAGCACCCCAGACCGCCTGTCCTTGAAGCAAAGTGGGGAGTTCCAGTCTTTTTTCTCTGATCGGTCTACAAGGATAAGACCAAGGTGAGCAGGACCGCATACACACACAGAGACGTGATGTATATCAAATTTATTACCACAACTGGAGAGAACGGTGGGGCGATTCTCCTCATCGACCTCTCTTAGAGGCAACGTGGCGACCTTTTGCCGTGGGATTGATTTGAGGGACAATCGAGCTTGCTTCAATTGGTCTTCTATCAAGTAGGATCTGGACTGGCCTTCAGGTTCCATGGAATTCTGCATGGTCGATGCCTAAATGCCAGCATGAGAACGCGAGGTCACGTTCACAGGTCTAGTCAAATAGTTAACCACCCAATCACGGAGTCGAGGGTCTCCTTCAACTCCGTCTCATTTGCGATGGAACAATATGAAGATCTACCACACATTTCCCATTCATCGTGAAATAAAGCAGTAGTCGAGCCTGAGTGGTGCGATTCATTGACATGCTCGCTGACTTGAGGTTAAGACGGGCCCGAAGGTGCAGAAACGGCATACGTGACAGCCCCCAGAAATGGTTTAAAAAGGATAACTGAAGACAAGACCCTCCATTCTTCCAAATAAAGAGTTGTGTCCATTCAAGGTTGACGTTTTCGTTTCAAAATGTCTCCTGACTGACCGACGGACGAACTGACGTGTCAAAACTCCCATTTCTCTGGGTGAAACTATTCTAAAGACGCCACAGTTGCTACTGATTTCCACCGGGCATTGTGGATTTTCGCCAATTTTTTGACAGGCGTGTTTGCACAACCCCCTACTTATTTGCTCCTATAAGTAGTACAGACACACTTGATCTTAAAAATAAGATCGCCTCTTCACATCGGCTGTTTATTTGAAAGACTTACTTATTTACAGCCACAAGTATTTGTGACACACTAGTTTTATCACCTTAAGTTCACACGTCACATATATGTGACACGTGCTTTATCGGCTTTTTTGACAACTAGTTACGCCAAATCGCTTGAAGCAAATAGAATGGGTAGGGAAACTGTTAAAATGGTCGCCTCGGTAATCCAAATGCTGAGTTATACCTATTGGTTCAACTTAGGGGACGAAAAGCAGTAAATATTACGCTCCCAAAAGGTATCTTCGGGAAAGAAGCTGGCAAAATAATTTGAAAACGAAAAGAAAAAAAGGTGAAAAATAAGACGACTTAATCGAAAGAAACAATTTTTTGAAAATTTCACAAAGTATGTGCGGTCATTTTACACGTTTGAGTGAGCACATGTGTAATTTAACACATGACGTGGATACAAGGCGTCAAGGGACCGTTGTTAGCTAATTTAAACCTAAGTTAGGATAATTATCATTTGATAACCATGGAGATCACCAAAAACGCTGTCCAATTCTAGCAATTTTGTAGTGACATCCACTTAAAAACGGGAGCGGATTAAGGTAGCCATCGTGGTGGAGATGCCTATAACCTTCCTCCCTCTCCAAGTTTCCACTCTAACGCCCAATTTTCCAGCATTCTGGAAGGTCTCAAAACTCTCGCTCTCGTACAGCTCCCCTGATCGGCCAGTACCAAGGGCGGGTAGACTTTAGATGTGCTAAACATCACTACGTGACCAAGGTCAATCAAAAATTCTTGAATAGATGAGAACGCAGACGCACACTGAAACCCTTAACCTCATTGAATGGTCAGGCTAGGGTGACTAGTCTGGATGTCAAAAGTAGACACATGATAG